CAGCAGGAAATTATTAAACTTCTTCTCGAGGTGAATGTCGTACATCTGTTTTATTAAACGAGGGAGTTCTGCATGAAGAATTCTGTTTCAATAATTAGTTCACCTCAGAAATGTCAAGTCAGCGGTGTAAGCGAGCCCATTGTTAAAAAACAATTACAGCCGTGGTGAGATCCTTGCTTTGAAATAGTGCGAGTGAAGCCTTTTCGCAACATTCTATTCTACACCATGAATCGGCTTTTGCCATGTGAAGTGGTGTGTGATTGTGTGCGTAAGAGGTTTACTGCGATACTATCCGAGACACTCGAGGGCTTCTTTCACAGTGATTGACCCTTTTCATTTATTTATCCACAGTGAGCTGGTTTTGACCTTAGAAGGCATTCTACATGCTTTTTTTAATTAGTTTTCAAAGTTACATTAAAACAGTACATTATACAAGAAAAAAGAAAACTGTGAGGGGGTTAAACGGTTAGTTCACCCCAAAATAAAAATGCTACCATCAGTTACTCACCCTCACATATAAACATTTATAAATGCACATACAGTACATAGAGCACATCAAATATAGTAAATGGAAAAACAAACATGCTTGACTGACGCTGTTTAAAGCGTTAAAGTTTGGCAGGAATGTACTTTCAATGGTGGGATGTAAATTTCTCAGGTTTCATTAAAAATATTTTAGTTTGTGATTCAAAAATGAACGAAAGTCTTGTGAGTTTAAGGATAAGAGGGTGAGTAAATTACTAGTGTTACCAAACAGAATTGGAAAAATAATTATTGTTCTCAAACACCTTTCCCCTGTCTGCCATTGGTCAAGACAAACAGATAGCTCTGCCCTAAACCACTAAATCCATTGGTTGAGACACTGTTGTTATGCTGGACTGGTCAGGATATTCAAACAATAATCAAATAATAAAACAAAGGTTTGATAGCACCACAGAGCGTCAGTGTTTACACTTTTCAGCATACTCAACCTACAAATGACTTACAAGCACTCTGCATGTTAAGCTGGTATAGGAAAAAGTATTTTAACATCAAACAATGGCCAACAAACAAGAAAAATTGGATAATTAACAATCAACAAGCAGCTTTGAACATATTATTTTGAAATGTTACAGCACAGATATCAGTCTAGTATTCTACTAAGCCACATTCCGAGATCTGTTTATTTTGTGGGAAGAAAAGGGGCGTCAGCTCATAGTGGAGTGTCTGACTGGTTTGTAGAAGAGTGAAGAGCCCTCTGAGAAAGCACTTGTGATCTTTGAGTAAAGCTGTTGTGCTGAGAGGGAGAGGAGGAGGCAGTCTGGCATGGCTCGGCTGATATACATAAGAGCTGTGATTAACTGGATTCAAATCCTCACCAACAAAAAGAGCAGAACGCTGCCACACAACAGTGGATATTCATGTGTCTTTCATTTTATACATCTTAAACCTGGATGACAGTTTATATAAAAGCAGACAGCAAATTAATCATAGTAAAAAAACAACACACACACACACACACACACACACACAAACAAACTGGCGCTACGGCACGGCCACTAAACTACATTGGGCACGGTTCCTTTGTCCCCGGCATAATTTAATTGATAAATGAGCGAGACGAGCATTTTGTGTGTACAGCTGACAGTGGACTTTTTGTAATGTAATGACATGGCAGTGTTTGAGGTGTACACAGGGACATCTGCCTCCAGTCTGGCTTCAGAGAGGAGCATTATGGGAAGGTTAGCCAGGGCAAGGCTGAGTGAGCAGTCACAATGATGGATTCAGAAATGGCAAGTGTAACGTTTGCATTCATTTGAATTGATACAGCTGTGCCAGTCAAACATCGAGCGAGCGTTAGCCACTTTTATAGTCACAAATCTGCTGCTATGTAGTAGTGGCATTATGGGTGGTCGCTAAGAAGCCTTAAAGGGACAGTGATCCAAAAACTGAAAATTCTGTCATCAATTTTACTCACCCTTATGTTGTTTCAAAACGTTATACAAAACAGTGAGTTAACACTAAACCACACATACACACACACAACATCAGCTCAATTATGCGCTGCTACTAATGCAACCACACATGTACACAAGTTCACACATAACTATGAAAACAATCCACATTCACTATCTACAACTGTGTACCACACACATTCATAACGATGTGCACATACAGATGTTTTCTTCATTCAGTCGGTCTGTGGTCGCTGGAAATGAAAGACACTTGTGCATGTTGGAAACAAAGTATTGTTTAACCCTTAGAGGCTTTGGGGTTTCAAACAGAACCCACAAATATACCTCTCTGACTTATAATTGTTTTTACAGCCTTTTTTTTATCTCTCCTTGACCAAAAAAATAAAATAAAACAAGATCAAATAAATGCTTAATTCAATGAATATGAATACAATATATACAACAGTAATACAATAATTAAATAAAAAATATATAGTTTTCACTGTAATTTATAATAACATTTTTAAATATATTTTTAAAAATAATATCTTAATAATCGTTTAGAATTTAGATCAACAACAATTTCACCCTGATCAAAATCTAACATAACACATCCAAGACTTCACTATAAAATAAAATAAAATATAGAATATAGAATAAAATATAAAATGAAATAAAATCTTAATTACTGAATAAAAATACAATACAACAATAATACAATAAATAAAATCAAAATTGTATTTCTATAATAATTTATAATAGCATTTTTGAGTTAACCAAGAGTTATTGAGTTATTTGAGAAAAAAAAGGAATAAAATAAAATAAAAATTCTATTGCAGATTCTGCTAAACGCATCATTCATGTTTTTCTTTTTGATTGATGTGGACATGTGAATTGCAGCACTGACATACGTACTTGATTTGAGGGCAGAGTGGGTGACCTCGATCTCACTGCCCAGGTAGGGCTGCAGGACACTGAGCTCAGGTTCAGAGGGGTCAGGGCTGGAGCAACTGGACGCCACACTCCCCCCGGGACTCACCATCGCCCTCTGCTGGAGCTCCATCTTCTCATACACAGCCTTCAACTGAGGACAGACAAACACCAGTCAGATTAGAGAACAGGAAAAACATCACTATCAAACAAACAAAACAGCCACAATGTAAAAAAGTCAAAAAATAATGTTTACACACATCACATTTAGGCTATTTTACAAGGACATAACAAGAGACACAATGCTGAAAATAAGAATAACTGCAGGTACTAGCATAAGCACACTGATCAAACGGTTTGTCCTTGTTTATTTCATACAAAATCATTGTACAGGGGGAATTACAGCATGAAAAAGTTAACTCTGAATATGACATCATTCCTCAAGATCATAAAGTTCATAAAGTTTACACAAAAGAAAGGTACAAGGATTTGTTAGTTGGAAAGTAGAATGGATGATCAGTGCCACTGTACTATAATGCAATATTGATAATTCATTCTCGCTCAGAGCAAAGCCCTGAATAACACAGGCCAATATTAATAATAGATGCTTCAAAAATTACTATGTATGTAAGACTGAAAGAATAGTTGCTGTTTCCTTTGGATGTACAGTATGAGAAAGTCTGGATGAGTTACAGTGGCCCCCAAAATATATATTCACAAAACATCAGATGTAAAAAAAAAAAATCACTATTTTACATGGCAAGAGATAGCAAAGTTAAACATCCAATCGGTAACAGCCATATGCTACATTGCTGTCACATGACCTCACTGTTACATATTTACATATTTAACTCAAACAAAAGCAGTTATTTAAAACTTCAATATGATGCATATATATATATATATATATATATAAACATTCTATAAAATTAAAAAATTTAAAATTCTAAAATTTCTAAAACAATAAATGAAAAAAATTGATAAATTGCAGTATTTTATTATTTATATGATATAAAAAAAATTAGAGTTGAAAATATAAAGATTACAAATATTTTAATGAATACGAAAAAATAAATAAACAATAAAAATCTTAATTTACGTTTTATATAACTTTCAAATTTAAATCAATCAAAAAGAAAAAACATCAATATACATTTTGTCTTGATGTTGGCAGTCCAATCACAACGAATCAAGATGATGTTAAAAAATAATAATAATAAATTACAGCTGGTGCTACTGCTGGCTCATTCGTCACACTGGAAAGGTCAAGTTGAGTGCATTGCATTGTGGGATACAATGATCCCTGGAGCGTTCACGGTTCACATGTTGGCAAATACAGGTAATCCTGTTTTCCATGCAAACAAAAGCTTATCCAACAGCGCACACAGTATGCATACCACAAATATTCTGCAAGCATGCTATACTGAAAAACACACACACTTATCTCTTGTCGAGAGGTGCTATTATTCCAGCAGGTGCCTCAAATGGGGCGAAACGTAATAAGTAATTACTAACGAGTTAATAGACACAGCCATCAGACAATAATTAGACACATTACACCGCAACCGTACATTAATTGTCAATAAAACAGACTCTAATGTAACGGCTGAGAGCCTGTGTGTGAAACGCATCGGTCGAGTAGCTTACAGCACTTTTCCCAAACCAGTTACGATCATATAAACACGACAGGCAGTATGATAAACAAATATAAATGAAATTAAAAAATGAAACCCAAGTCGACAGGCGTCTGTGTTTGTGAGCACATGCGTTAAGCATCAATGGTCAAATTAGATGTGACAAGGGAATCAGAAGCTGTCAAACATAATGTCACGGTAGCGTTATGAGCCGAGAGGACGTTGACGGTAATGAGAGAGAATTCGGTTGAGCGTGCCGTGGTCTCTGACCGTCTCCGATTGGCACGTTGACAAGCGGCCATAAAGCCGGGCCGGCTGATGAACTCATTCGCCAGCCACTAATGAATTAGCACTTCCCTTCTTCGCACGGCTCACCTTTCCAGTCACGTCAAAGGCCTGGCAGAGGAAACAACGGCTTAATGAAAGACAAAAAACGCCAGGGAACATCAGTTGCGAGGGCAGGTAACGCGTATGGGAGATATGAAGTCAATATGAAGTCATCTGCATCCGTTTCTCAGGAAAACAATAACCGGTGACACGCGACAGGAATACGCATCATCAATCACGGGGAAATATTGCGCCGCGCACCCCAGCCCGGTCTGTGTGATTCGATGGGCTGACATTTCTCGCAGAAATCGTCCAGATCAGAGAGAGGGGGAAAGTAATCTCGGGGAATCACTTCTCCACGGGTTTGATAGATGGCCGTCTTTCTGCGCATCTCTCTCTGGTTCTTGCCCTAAGTGTTCATACCTGATCAAACTCTATTTCTGGGCCTGAAGCGTGCGGGCTGGGATATTCATCACCGCTGTTGTGTATATACACGCTGCACATTATTCCTGAAGGATTGTAGAGGCATGCGACTCACAGAAAAGAGCGTGTCAATTTCAGCCAATCACGGAGCTGCAAACAAAACAAAAAACAATGAAAACTTCTTCCCTCATAATAGCAGCCAGGCCGGTCACAGATGTGTCTCGTGAGAGCCGTAACATGGACACACTCTCGGCTTTTCAATTCTATTGAGAGGCATTCGTCAACAACACGACCTCTGAGAGGATTTGTGAATGTGTATGCATGTATTAAAGGAATATAGACTATTAGGGCTCAGCCGAGTTGGTGGCATTTCTCTATTTGAGTTACATATGAGGAAAGAGTTATTGGCGGAGCCCAAAACTGTAAAAATGCTGCTTGATTTTTCAATTTATGATTCTGTTTCTACCGGCAAATGAACGTATAGATATACACATTCACTATGTTGTTTTTAGTATTTCCTTGTTAACCTCTAAAGCTCACTTAAAATTGTTCTAGATCATTAGATGTGATGTTATGGTGCCTTGGAGGCCGGTTTGAAACCGGTTTCCTTACAAAAAATACAAAACATTGTTTTGTTTGGTCACTGACTGTTAAGTCATTGTTAAGTCAACAACTCAACCACATGTACGGAAACTTGTTTCCACCTCAGAGTAAAATATAAAAATGGTAATTGTGAGGAAGAAATTTAAGATTCTAATTGCGTATAATATGCTAGTGACATATAAAGTGACAATTTTGAAAAAAAAACATTTTTGCAGACTTCGTATATCTCACAATTTCAACTTTACAAAGTGATTTTGGTCAAAACTGTAAAGATAAATTCTCATTGTGGCATATACAGTCACATTGTAAGAAAAAGTCACTTTTATGTCATATTGTGGAACAACTATGACAAATTATGACAAAGTCATCATTGCAAGATATAAAGTAAATTCTGTGGCATATAAAGACATTTGAGATGAAGACAAAATTGTGACTATAAAGTCAATTTTGTAGCATACAAAGTCAAAATGAGATATAAAGTCAAGTATGCGAAATATAAAGTCAAAATTGAGATAAAAAGTCACATTGTAACAAAGACATAATATAACTAGGAAATTTTGTGGCGTATAGTCACAACTGAGATATATAGTCACACTTTGCCATATAAAGTCAAAATTGTGAGATATAAAGTCAAAAGGATGAGACTGTAACATTGTTGCATATAAATTAAAATTTGAGATATAAAGTCACTATTCATAAATTCACAATTGTGAGATCTAAATGCAAAATTGAGATATAAAGTCAGTATTGATAGTCATAATTGTGAGATCAAAACTGTGACATATAAAGCCAATTTTATTGCATTTAAAGTCAAAACTGAAACATAGTCTCAATGTGCAAAAACAAAGTAACGATTATATATAATGTCAGAATTGTCAGATTGGCAAAACTGTGAGATAAAAAGGCCCAATTGTGAGACAGTTACATTGTGGTATATAAATGTCAAAATTGCGGTAAATAAAATTAAAATATAAAGTCACAAATACATATAAAGACACAATGAGCCATTTATAGTAAAAACGTGAGATATAACAAGAAAAACAGGCCACACAGAGAAGAACCAATTGCCAATCCAATTATTGTAAGTTCTTAACTTCTCTGCTGGCTAGTGTTGTCAAAAGACTTCGGTACCAAGTCGGTACTAAAAAAATTAAAACGTTACAGTACCAGGTTTTTTTAAGTACCGGTGGTACCGAGTACCCGGTCAACCCGGTTCTTGATGCGCTATCCGAAAGGTGCGCAGATGCTCTCTCATAAAAGCACGGAGACGTGGCGACCTCAAAATGAAGAAGCACATCAAACTAACAAAACACTTTAAAGACAGACACCCGGATCAAATGACTGAAACCCAGTGTGGGTGTTTTTATATCACTGTATTTCTGAAGGAAACCGACTGTCTTCAAAAAATTATGGATGTCATTGTCATTTCACCTTGCCTGTAATGCCTGATAAAGCAACGTTTGTGAGCGCAGCACTTATTTGATTACAGCCGTTACTGGGGAAACCTGATCTCTCCCGCTCTACAAGCGCCTCCTGCTGGCAGAGAATGAATTTGCATATATATGCCGCCACAAATAGAGTGCAAGTCTGGGAAACACCGCTTCTGTTATGAATATTATTCAATATTTTAATTTGAATGTCGGATTGAAATGAACGTCGCTGTTATTAGAGTAGTTCATCGTTAGCATAAGCGCGGCTAACGCTAATATAATGAGCATTAGAATTAAGTTTCTTTATTAACTATTTAATGCTCCTATAACTTTTATTAGGGTAAAAAAACAGGATGACATGATGATATTTACTATTTTTACACACCAGAGGCTTTTAAATGAATTGTGAATCTAAAATATGCGTGTTAGAGAATGTACAAATGGTTAACATTGTTTGTGTCATATCAGTCAGAAAAGCAGTTCTGTGTTTATTTTTTTGTTTTTGTTTTTTTAGCTAACTTAGTTTTTATTCTTGGCTGAATAACTCTAGAAGGTTTTAAAAGCCCTTTAAAATTACAGTCACTGGTATTGTACCGAATACTGAAATTTTGGTACAGTGACAACACTACTGCTGGCATAAACTTTCTTCTCATTCATGACAAAATCCTGTGAATTGATTTGCATTCAAGTTAGCAGGCATCTCGCCCTCTTTTCTCTCAGCTCAAACGCAGATATTG